TATGTTTTTGAGCGGAATTTTGCCCCCCCCCCCCAGAATACGCGGGGCAGCCTAAGCACTCACGCTCAGAATCGGAATAACATGGTCATGGATGCTCAGCGAGGGATTCTCCAGGGGTACTGGTACCCTCCTGGGGTAGTCGATCGTGTAATTTTGCTACCATGTTGATGGGGGGGGGGGGGTATTGGGCCTCCGGCCACCTGCACTCACCAGACGAAACGCAGAAGTAGAGCTTCTACTTCACGCCGGTATTCTGTGAGGTCGTGGTACCAACCCGGCTCGAGCCGGCCCATACGTGCAACAGCAAAAACTGCTGCGTGGCTCTACCACCGACAATATATATATATGTATATGAAATACCTTCTTTTCTTAGGTCATTGATAGCTTTAAGTCTAGTTTTCTGTGTTAAAAACATTTGTTTCATTACACACATTTTTATAATAAATCCTAAGAGACTTAATTAAAAAAAGAATTATATAGCCAAAAAGCGCCCTTGTTTTTTCCAAAGTATCCTAAATTGCGACCAGTCGCCAATCGCAATTTTTCGTCCTCCCGATCCCGACACCCTTCGAGCCTAACTTGGCACCACTGTTTACGGTTACAAATGATCAACGTTGTTGTGAGTGCACGTCACTACTTGTTATATTAATCTAACATAGTCACGTAGTCAATGGGTTGATATTACGTTACAAATATCTATCCACCCTTGTACGTCGCACAAATGGCTCGCACATCCAACATATAATATATAAAGTGTAATAAGGATATATCATATGTATGTTATTTATTTATTTATTTAATACATAATTATAACATCATTTCAGTTATATTAACCAATGCGATGCTATAACTAACCTGAACTTAAGAAAACTACTGACTTACAAATAATAACTATAAAATAATGAATAATAATATTAACATGATTATAAAATAAAATACTAATTAAAAAAATTATACTTTTCAACGCATTTGTATGCTGCAATTATGAACTTCGTCGGACTACATGTAAATATGTCAATATCCTGTGAGATGATATTAACGTAGTGTATGGCACGTGTCAATGGTGCATTCTGAAGCAACTTCGTCCTAGCAGTGGGCACGAGGAGTAACGTGGCGCGGCGACGAGAACACACGTAATTATCAGGTACACGTTGCTTTAGCGCAGCGAGCACATCTGGGTGATGTATCCATCCATGTAATACATTCCACACATATTTAACAAGCGCGATGTCTCTCCTCACACTAAGGCGGCTGTAACCGACCATACCTAGTACAAATAGACTCGGATACATCAGTGTAAAACTAGCATAGATTCCGTACTACTTGAAATATAAAAATCGTGTACATTTATTTTGAATTTTTGCGATCATGACACTATATTTGCTTTCATGTGGATTCCAATTAATGACATTAGTTTCAAGTTGACTTCTTACGAGAGCATTATGTAATATTCTAATAGTAAGTAAGTTTCGAAAATCCCTGCAATGCTTTAAGATAAAGCTGAGATTCCTAAAAGCTTTTTTACAAACCGGGACCATCTCAACGCTTAAGTCTCTAATATGTGTAACTTGACGGATTACGAGGCCGTTCATTTAATAAACATAATTATGAGGGACTATGCACGACCATAACTCATGACACAACATTTATTCACATTTAAGCTAAATTTGTTTCCATACCCCACTGTCAATGTCCTTTTGCAAATTTTGTCAGTCAGAAACATTGTTTAATTTCAACTAAATTTTAAGATCGTCGGCAAATAGCAAACAATAATTATATGAAATATTTTAACGGTGGTAGAGCCACGCAGCAGTTTTTGCTGTTGCACGTATGGGCTGGCTCGAGCCGGTTTAGTACCACGACCTCACAGAATACCGGTGTGAAGTAGAAGCTCTGCTTCTGCGTTTCGTCTGGTGAGTGCAGGTGGCCGGAGGCCCAATCCCCCCCTACCCCCCACCAGCAACATGGTAGCGGAATTACACGATAAACTACCCCAGGAGGGTACCAGTACCCCTGGAGAACCTCTCGCTGAACATCCACGACCATCTTATTCCAATCCTGAGCGTGGGTGTTCAGGTTGCCTCGCGTATTCTTTGGGGGGCAAAATTCCGCTCAAAAACATAACTGCTCGGGGCAAACTGAGCAACAATACCAAGGCGTCCCCTGCCACGCTATCCGTGAATTTCTGCAACATCAGGGGACTTCACTCTAACCTAAACGCCGTCCACTACCATCTCGAGACGGCGAAGCCGGCCTTGCTCTTTCTGACCGATACGCAGGTTTCCTCTCCGGCTAATATTTCGTATCTCTCCTACCCGGGGTACAAATTGGAGCACTCCTTTGTGCCTCGGGCTGGAGTTTGCGTGTATGTCAGAGAAGACATCTGTTCTCGACGCCTCGGCAGTCTTGAACTTTTGGACCTATCCATACTTTGGCTACGTAGACAGCGACGACCATCCGCACGTCTACGGGTGCCTCTATAGGTCCCATAGCGGTAATGCGGAAACAGCCCGACTCATCAACCACGTCCAAATGGCTACAGATTCCTTGCTACAACAGGTCCCATCCTCAGAGATCGTGATCCTTGGCGATTTTAACGCCCACCATGCCGAATGGCTCGGTTTACGTTTAACCGATCATGCGGGGAGATCTGTTTATGACTTTTTTTTTTTTTTTTATAAAACTGCTGCTATACATGCAGCATCCTTTTTTACTAATGTGTAAAATTTATACGAAATACTTGAACGCTGTTTTTTTTTTTTTTTATTAATTTAATATATATATATATATATATATATATATATATATATATATATATATATATATATATTATGCATTAATATTTTTCTTACAAGAACTAACTATTCTAACTATTCCTTTATTACTTAAGATTTAACTATGGTATTATTTTAACTGTATTCAACATTATCTTTTTTTTATACATTGATTTTACTCTTATATAGTTATAACTATTGATAGTAGCTTAAAATTTTACTATTTTACTATTTTTTTTTCTTTTTCTACTTTCATTCTTACAGTGTTGTCTATAATCCAAACTGAAGTTTACTTACCTCTAAAGTTAAAATAAAGTAGTGTACTTAACTTAGATTATTAGAGAGTACAGAGGGCGCCACCCATTTTTTTTTTAATTATTATTAGTTTGCTTTTTTTTTTTGATTTCTCTTTTTTTCTTTTCTTTTTTCTTTCTTCTTTTTTTTCTTTCACTTTTTTCCCCCTTTTTTCTTTTTACAGATTTTTTTTTGTACTTTATTTTTTCTATAATATATTCTTTTTTTTTTTTTGAGTGGTATAGGCCATTTTATTAATAATTCTTTTGATTTATATAATAAATAATACTTTGAAAGAACAAAATCTTCCATTTATCTCTTAATTGAACATTTTGTTACTCCAACCATATAAGGCTTATCATCTTATATTATAACTTAAACTAATTTGGATCCATTAGCCTTACCCGCAGTGCGTACCACTGCTTCTGAAAACTTAAGGAAATGGGTTCGACAGTCATCGTTGTTGATTGCATGCCTTAAATTATAAACTGTAAGCATCATCCCCATCTTTTGTTCACATTCAAGTCTTTGTATGGCGAATCTAGGGCAGTCTATTAATAAATGTTCGATATTTTCTTCTTCATCGTTACTACAAACACAAGATGGAGACTGAGCTAGCTTATATTTATATAAATAAGCCCTAAAACCTCCATGACCTGTTAGTAGTTGTACTTTTAAATTGTCTATTTTTATATGCTTGAGTGTTCTATATGCTTCTTTTATGTCCGGTAGGAATTTCTTTGTTACAGCTCCCGTAGTAGCTTCACTGTATCGTAACTGCCACTCTACGCAAGTAGAGTCCCGGGCAAGTCTCTTTGCGAAAGACAGGGGGAATTTATCGTATACTGGAGTTTGCTTGTTCGAAAGCGCAGCATATTTCGCCAGTTCATCGGCTCTTTCATTACCGGCTATGCCGATGTGTGCTTTGATCCAGCAAAGGTTAACCTCGCCTCCTTTGTCTAATAGTGACTTTATTCGATCTCGTATTTCTACAGCTAATGGATGCAGAGACGATGTATCGCTCAGGCATTCTAAGGCAGAGCGTGAATCACTTAAGATGATGCCTTTCCTTAGCTCTTTGTGTTTGTGCATCAGTTCCAATGCTCTTAAGATTGCCGTGAGTTCAGGTTGATAGACACTGCAGTAATTTTCCAGCCTGAATGTCGATTTCCGTACTTCCTGATGGTTTTTCCATACTGTTACAGCTCCTCCGACTTTACCTTGAATTTTGCTTCCGTCTGTGTATAATTTTGGTTGTTGGGAATCAGTAATTTTTTCTTCTTCTTCTGAGGTAATTATTTCAAAGGCGATACGATACCTGTCGGCTGGATGTGGTAGGTAAAATGGGTTCACTGGTTTTTCACCAATTCTTCCTGGAAGTTGGGTTAGCGCCTTCCCTCGTTTTATTTCATAGAGTTTAAGATGTTCTATTGCTCTGAGATCCAGAGGAAATATGCCCGCTAGTAGAACGCTGGAAGTAAATGAGACTGTTCTATGTCCTTTGCAGATCAAGATAGCAAACATTCTTGTGATACGGTCTAGTTTCTTCTTCACATAATCCTTCTTTACCACTGCGGCCCAGGCACTTGCCGCGTATAGGATCGTTGGTTCCACTACTGCAACATAAATAGTCTTTATTATTTCGGAGTTTAGTCCCCAGTGTGCTTTTGCTGTTCTAGAAACTTTTTTATATAAATTGATAGCTTTTGTTAGGGCTTCCTCAATGTGTTCTGTAAAGTTTAGATTTTTATCAATTGTGACTCCAAGTACCTTTACACTCGCTGATGGTTGGACATAAACATTCCCCATTTTTATTTGCGGCAATTCGGGAGATAGTTTTTTAGTAATTATTACTGCTTGTGTTTTCTGTGGTGCAAATTTTAGCTTATGTGTTTTCCCCCATGACACTATGTGGTCCAAGGCTGGATTCAGTTATTCTTCAATTGCTTTGGCTGAGTGGCCTTTTGCGATCACAAGTATATCGTCGGCAAACGCCTGAACGTGTACCTTCAGATGTGATGTACTTTCGAGGAGGGGATCCAGGAGAATATTCCAAAGTATAGGCCCGCAAGTAGATCCCTGAATACACCCCTTGGTGGTAGATTTGGTAACTACTGCACCTGCATATTTTAGCGTGATATTCCTCGAAGATAGGTAACTAGTAATCAGTCTCAGAATATCTTGACTCACTTGTTTTCTATGCATTTCATTTATTATTTGAGGCCACCATGCATTGTCAAATGCCCCTTCTATATCGAGGGATACCACAACAACAATCTTTTTTTCCTTGATCCCCTGTTTTATAAAGGAGATAGCGTCGTACAAGGCGTCTTCTGTACTACGTTGCGGCATGAACCCGTATGGTCGGCTGTTAAGTTTACCCTCTTTTCCCAATTGCCAAAGAAGCCTGGTTACAAAAAGTTTCTCTAATATCTTTCCAAATATAGGAAGTAAGCCAATAGGGCGGTAAGCTTTGGGAACTGTGTAGTCCTCTCTGTTCGGTTTTGGAATTATTTTTATTATGGCATTTTTCCAGATCTTTGGGAAATAACCTATTTCGAGACTCTTGTTGTAGATAGCCATTAGTGTTGAAGGCATGGTCTTATATGACTGATAGCAAATATCTGACGTGATGCCATCTTCGCCAGGCGCCTTTTTGGGGTCCATTTTATCTAGAACTGCCTCTATTTCTATCTCTGTAAAACTACGATGAGAAATGGTCGTGCTTTTTCTAAGTTCTTTAGTTATTTTATCAGCTTTATCTCGTATTCTGGTTTGTTCTTCAGTATCTATGATTTTATCGTCATCTGGGTAAAAAGATTTTGCCAATAACATTGCTGAGTCATTAGCGTTAAGAATTTCATCGCCTGATTTCAGCAGTTTGTCTTGGTTAGATGCGCTACATTTTTTTATTATTCTGTACATACTTTGCCATACAGTTTCTTTTTCTTGTTTAGTGCATAGTTCTTTCCAGCTCGTAGTTATTGCTGTCATTATATTATTAACATATTTTTCTTTTGCTTCTACAAAATCCTGGATAACGTACGGTTTTCGTCTCTCATTGGCAAATTTTATTCTTCTTCTGAGTCGTATAACTTTGCATCGTTCTGCTTCTAGCTGCGTGTTCCACCATGGTGTACAGGTTTTATATACATTCTTAGAGATAGTTGGTATGGATTTCTGGCAGGCTAATTTTACTTGTTTGACATATGAGTCCACGATATCATCCAATTCCTCTGGTGTATCTATGGTTTTTATTTTATTTTCTGTTACGTTCTCCTTTTCTAATTTTTCTTTAAAGTCGTTTCTGAAGAGAGACCAGTTTGCCTTGGCTGTATTAAATAAGCGAGTAGAATTTCTGAGCGCGACACTCTGTTTATCCGTTTTGACCTTCATTTGAAATTGTATGGCTCGATGATCAGATAGTGTAACAAAATTAGGGTCAACCCTCCATCTTTCCATTTTATGTAGGATTGCCGACGTACAGCAGGTCACATCCACTATGCTGCTATATAACTTTCCTCCTCGGTATTGGTAAAAAGTGGATTCACTGCCCTGATTTAAAACATTCATATCCAGTTCAGCTATCATTTCCAATAAAAGTAAACCCCTCTTGTCCTCCGCTCTGCTCCCCCACCAGAGACTCCTTGCATTAAAGTCGCCTGTTAGGATAACGTTTTCCGTAGCCATATCTTGCACAATTCTTGTTATCTTCTTTGTATCTTCTTCTATGTTACCGTCTTTCTCTAAATATACATTTATAATGCCTACTTCAAATTTTCCTATTTTAACTATAAACCCTACTATATTTTCGCTAACATGCTCTGGATTTTCTATGATTAAGTAAGTTGGATCAACAACGATGACTGCCGATTTAACCGGTTTATCTCTGTTACTAGTAGGTTTTTGAATTACGCGACGATTACAGGTTACATGTGCTTTTGCACCTACATATGGTTCTTGCAGTAGAAGTAACGCTATGCGTTGGCTTATTGCCATTTGAAGACATTCTTTAGACGCTGCCATTCCTCGGCCAAGGTTTACCTGTACTAATTTTATAGTTTGTGTATCTGCTAAGATTGAATTTGGTGCATAATTTCCAGAGGAGTATCTACTTGACTGCGATTGATCGATGTTAATATCCTGATTTACCTTAGCAATATGCTACCGAGGACCTGGCTATGCGATCCCATTTCTTCCACACTGAACATTCATTGCTGTATGCTGGGTGGCTGAGATCACCTACAATTTTGTTCCTAGTGCAGTTTGCGCAAGTTGGTGCTCCATTGCTGCGTGGACATTCTCTGCTGTCGTGGTCCTCTGCACAATATCCGCAAGTTGATTTATCTGCCCTGCATTCTCTAGCCCTATGCCCAAAGCCCATACATCGGTAGCATTGCACAACGGGAGATTGGTCTAGGGCGGGTACTATTTGGTACCCCACATGCACTCTTTGGTCTTTCAGTGCTTTCCAGACCTCAGGGCTTACTTCTAATATTATATTGTTAATTGCCGCCGTTCGCCCCTTAATTCGTCTCAATACTTTAATCTTTATATTTTCCATTTCTATGTGTTTTAGGAGCTTAATATTTTGGTTAACTAATGCTTCTTCTAGTTTTGTATTATTAAGATCATTAGCTACTCCTATTAATTTAAGCAGTGGGTTTTTGGCTGTTGACTTTGAGACTGTTAGCTTCTTGTCCGAGTTTCTAATTGCATTTTGAAGCTTTTCTCGGTCCTCGTCATTGTCGCATGATAGTAGCACCTTCTGATTTCTTACCCTTCTTATATTGTTAACCCCCACTCCAAGTTGTACCACGTCGATGTTGTTCTTTATTGTGTTGACAACATCTTCGCTCGTATGTCTGGGATCCGATGATTCAACAACAAGAGCAAATCGTGGTGAAGTAAGTGCTTCTGCATAAGATTTTATTTGGCGAGCGGCTTGTTGTTCTTTTATTACGACATTTTTGGGACTTTCTGTTGTTTTGTTCGTTATGTTGCTGCAGTTGCATGTCTCCAGATGATTAAGCTTGTCTCTGATTTCCGCAATTGCCAGCTCTGTGCCCAAACCTGAGTTGTTCTGAAACGCACTTTGGCTCACTCCGTAATCTCTTAATTCCTTTATGTCCTCAGTGATTTTGTCTATTCTAAATAACACTGGTTCTATGGCTGTTGATATACTATCTATAGATGTTGACTGTGGGGATGTTACATTCAGGGCTCGTATTTGCATATCCTGGATTGTATGTTTGACATTGGATATGTTGCTGGCAATATCATCAATGCGAGGATCTTTCCATGAGTTCAGAGCCAGTGCAATGTGTTCAATACTTTCTTTATCCGCTACGTTATTTTTAAAGACGTTGATGTCAGAAACTAGTTCTTTAATCTTTTCCATGATGTCATTTACTTGATTTGCTATTGACGCCAATTCTTCACTATTATGTGTTTGCCATTGCTTTAGGTGTTCATCAGCGATGCAAGTAGATGGTTCTTTACTTGTTTTGGTTGATATTTCGTATATTACTTGTTTTATTTTGTATATCGCTTTGATAGGGTCATCCATTTCGTAATTTAACCACCCTCTTATTGCCTCTGTCGATTTCTGCGTTTCGTGCATTATATCTTGGATAGCTTTAAGTCTTTGAGTGTAAGTGGACTGAAGCTCTGTTAGTTGTTTTGTATGTGCTCTTTCGACTCTCACCAACTCTTTCGCTGCTCGACTGCGTTCCTGTTCTAATCCCAGTCGATGACGAGAGCGTGAGTCAGAGAGTGACAGCACTGTTTCATAGAGGCCTTGTAAGCAATCATGTACCTCCTGCTTGCACTCGCGCTTCATGTTTCCGGCTTTTTCCAGGGCCTCTTTGCCAGCGAGCAAGAAGTCATTTGCCCGCTGTGTTGCGAGATCCATGGAAATGCCAGCTCTTTTGTACGCAGGTGGCAACATGCTAGACCTCCTACTATCTCCACTTACGATGCTTTCGACATCCGACCACTCATCATCCGTGCGGTGCACTGGTTTGCATAATCCCAGAAGACCAAGCTCAGCCTCAATGTCCAAAGAAGTGCTATTGTCAGTGGCAGTTTGCGGTTCTTTTGTTTTCATCATGTTTACTTGCTCGGTCGATTCTCCCATTGTGAGATTACTTGAGTCCGACCCGTGAATGGCCTCACCTTTCGCAGTGATTCTCCTATCAATATTCTCTGCATCTTCTGCGACTTGTTGGGAAGAGGCTGCGTTGTGTATGAGGACTTTTTTTCGTAATGTTGGAGCTGATGAGGGACTGACTCCTCTAACCGACCTAGTAGTGGCTTTGTTTTTTGCCATTTCAACACACGATTTACTAGATTTAACCGACATTATCCTCTTTTTTTTATTATAGTTGATTTTTAAAGCTCTATGTAGAGTCAGCAAGTTTATTACAAAGAAGAGTATTTAAGGGTGAAGCTCACTAGCAACTATGCTGAAAAACGCTGTGTCCTAGGAATCACCGTTCTGGAGTATCTTTCGCAGACTCTATGTAGAGTTAGTAGGGCGTTCAATCGATAGAGCTGAATTTTTCAATTACTTTACCGAAAACCGCAACTCGATAGGAGCCTCCGTTCCAAAGATATGGTATATTGAAATTCGACAATATGGCGGAACAAGATGGCTGACCAAATCTAGATTTTCTTTTACTGCCTCTTCAGTGCTCCTAAAATAACCGAGTTTGGGCTCAATCTTCTCAGCACGCTGTCGGCAATCCAGTTATGGCTATAAAAAGGTGTGCTCAAAAAGTGTTTGTTTTTTCACCCCTAAATGATCCTCTATTTATACGAATACGTTCAATGAAAACCGCAACCTTCTACGAGTAGCGGTTATCGAGATATCTTCGAACAAAGTTTCTGACGTTTTTCCAAGATGGCGTCCGAAATTAAAAATTTTGTATATCTCAGAGACGGAAAGAGATAGACCCCCCGACCTTGGTATCGCTAGATCGGTCTCGGTGCGCTCTATACAACTGGTTACTTCGCCTATGCGGATTCCAGATGTGGAGGATCTTCTTGTGGACCTTCCCTTTTGGACCTTCTGCTGACCTCTCATCCGGGAGGATATCAGGTTTCCGTCGATGCCCCTCTCGGCTCTTCGGACCATTGTCTGATCCGGAGTGTGGTGCCACTCACGCTCCCTTGCGGTTGTATTCTGCAGGTTGCCGCCGTGTTTGATATTACAGGTCGGCGGATTGGGACGGAATGCGATCTTTCTTGCATCCTACCCATGGGGGTGGGTTTGCTTCTCGCTGGATGATCCCAGCACTGTTGCTGACTCTGTCACTGATGTGGTGCTACAGGGAATGGAACTATTTATTCCATCATCTGTGGTACCCATCGGAGGCAGATCTCAGCCTTGGTTTGGTCGCTCCTGTAAGACTGCATTACGCAGTAAGCAGGAGTGTTATCAAGCCTGGGCTGTGGCTTCGGCGACTCGGGATGTAAACACCAGCACACTTAAAAAGAAGTATAACTTCGCCTCCAGGTCCTTCAAAAGAGTTAAGAACCCGTGCATTCTGGTCTCTCGCCAAGGTTGTCCAAGGGAATTTCTGTAAGCCATCACTACCATCCCTGCACAGTGAGGACTGTGATGTGCCGTTCTTACAGCGCTCGGTTCGCAAAGCACTTCTCTCCCTGGACATCCAGAAGTCGAGTGGGCCTGATGGCATCCCCCCAATTGTGCTGAGGACGTGTGCTCCGGAGTTGGCACCAGTCCCAACGCGTCTTTTCCGGTACTCCTACTCACAAGGCGTAGTCCCGAATTCATAGAAGACAACTTTTGTCCACCCGATCCCTAAAAAAGGCGACCGCTCATACTCGTCCAACTATAGGCCTATCGCGATCACCTCCTTGTTCTCCAAAATAATGGAATCCATTATTAACTGCCAGCTCATCCGGTACCTTGAGGATCACCAGCTGATTAGTGACCGCCAATACGGTTTTCGTCGGGGTCGATCAGCTGGTGATCTTCTGGTCTACCTGACCCATAGATGGGCGGAGGCAATAGAGTCCAAGGGGGAGGCGTTGTTCGTTACTCTGGACATTGCGAAGGCCATCGATCGGGTTTGGCACAAAGCGCTTCTTTCGAAGCTCCCTTCCTATGGGCTTCCCGAGAAATTGTGCAATTGGATCACCAGCTTCCTTGCAGATCGGAGCATCAAGGTCGTTGTAGACGGTGCATGTTCTGACTACAAGCCTATAAACGCTGGTGTTCCACAAGGCTGTGTGCTATTACCAACGCTGTTTCTTCTGCATATCAATGATATGTTGCTAACTGGTAACATTCATTACTATGCGGATGACAGCACTGGTGATGCGCTATACACCGGCCGTGCCAATATTTCTCGGGAAAACGTCGCCGAGTACCGGAACAAACTTGTCTCTGAAGTCGAGTCTTTGCTGAACAAAGTTTCGGATTGGAGGCGACTAAATCTAGTCCAGTTTCATCCTCAGAAGACACAAATTTGCGCGTTTACCGCTAAAAAGAATCCCTTTGTCGTATCTCCTCAGTTTCAAGGCACTCCCCTTCTTGCCTCAGCCAGTATCGGTATCCTCGGAGTCGACATATGGAGTGATGTGCAGTTTCGTGGTCACTTGGAAGAGAAAGCCAAATTGGTCTCTAAAAAGCTTGGCGTGCTCAGCAGAGCGGGACAGTATTTCATGCCGGCACACCGCTTGCAACTTTACAAGGCGCAGGTTCGGCCTCACATGGAATACTGCTCCCATCTCTGGGCAGGGGCTCTTCAGTGCCAGCTCCTTCCACTTGACTGCATCCAGTGCAGAGCGGCTCGAATCGTCGACGACTGGGCCCTTCCGATCGGCTCGATTCATTGGCACTGCGAAGAGATGTTGCATCCCTTTGCATTTTCTTTCGCATCTACCATGGGGAGTACTCCGAGGAATTGTTCGGATTAATCCCAACCGCCAAATTTCACGAACGCACATCGCGGCAGAACTCCCGATACCATCCACACCATCTGGATGATTGGCGGTCCACCACTGTGCGATTTAGAAGATGTTTTCTTCCTCGCAAGACTTCCTTGTGGAATCGATTACCATCAGCGATTTTTCCGGACCGATACGACTTAGGGACCTTCAAGAAAAGAGCTTACTCCTTTCTAAAAGGCCGGCAACGCATCTGCAATTCCCTCCCTGGTGTTGCAGTTGTTCATGGGCGGCGGTAGTCACTTACGATCAGGTGAGCCACATGCTCGTTTGCCCCCTCTCCTATAAAAAGAAATATATGACATATCGTTCCATGGGTGTCGTAAGAGGCGACAGGGTGAAACAAAGCAAGATGGAGATGGAGATGGCCTTCTACTTAATATCATCTATAAATAAAAATAACATAGGCAAAATCCTCCCCAAGAGGAAAACTCTTCCCCAGAGATTATGTTATTATTTTTATTTGTAATTATTATGTTCAGCAGTTGCCTATTTTCACTCTCCCATATATATATATATATATATATATATACATATATACATATATATATATATATATATATATATACATATATACATATATATATATATATATATATATATACTTATGTGTGTATATACCTTATATTTTCTGCCTTATATTATGTATCCCCGTAAAATATATAATAATGAAGGCCCAATTACTAGTGGCAAAGCAATTCGTAATAATTCATGATGATGACAAGCGAGACTGTTCAAGTAGCTGTGAAGTATTAATTTTAAAATTATGGTTTAGTACCGTATATGAACCACTGAAACACCAGAGTTACTGCAGACGCGTTGCCGGCCTTTTAAAAAAATAAGTCGTATCGGTCCGGAAAAATTGCTGGTGGTAGTCGATTCAACTTCAAGATGCGCGAAAAAGAAATTTCCAGAAGGAAAGATCGTCAATCATTCAGATGTATGTATGGATGTATGGATGGTATCGCTAGTTTTGTCGTGAAGTCCGATTGTGAAATTTAGTAACTGCAATTAGTCCGAACAATTCTTCTCAATACTCCGAGAGGAATATGCAAAGAATATGGGGACTATAAGACCTTCAATAGGTGACATTTGTTATTTACACCAGCGTAATTTATCAAATCTAACATCAAATGTAATGGATATGAAATAGTTGCAATATAAGCTCAATATACAGCTATTATATTTCGATCAGCTTTTAATGTCATCTTAGACTTCGTTTAGATTTTATGTTAATAGTAGATACAGAAACCTTTTTATTCAATAAAGATTATAAATAATATTTAAATAATAATATTGAAATTCACTCTTGTATAGTTACTGGTTTTGAAAAAATCTCTGTCCTGAGAATAACCAGCAAGAAACCCAGGGGGATTTTAAAAGAAAACAATCATGTATGTTACATAATTAACAACACAATACAAATTAGAAATACATAACTTTGTAGCGATCACCTCATTCCCAGAGGTTTTTATCATCCCTAAATTCCTTAATATTGTTGCGCGCCACGGTTAATACGTGGTATATGGCGACACTAGTTACCACTCAAGAGTCAATAACATTCTAGAAATTTCTATAGCAGAAGGTTCTGGAAACTACCTGAGTCCCTATATAAAGCCAGTATAGAAACGCGACCGAGGAGTTTTGAATTGACGATATAAACGAATACTTCGCAGCGATAAAACTGCGAACTTAAGTGATCTGTAGTACAATTGTGTTTTGTTATTAGTGTGATTTTAAGTTGTAATTAGTGTTCTGTTATTAAATATATCAATAGAAAATCATGTCTGTAATTCTAATATATTCTTGAAAAAAACTCCACGGGACTAAATAAAGAGTTCTGAAGCCATATCAGTGGTTTTTAGAATTTTTGTCTATCTGTGTATTCCGGATTCACGCAAAAACTACTGGACCAATTTACATTAAATTTTGTACGTAAGTAGTACCCTGGGCAACATAAAAGCTACTGTTTATATGATTAAGAAACTTCAACAAAAGAAGGTTAAGTATTTTCCTTCCTTTGGATGTTAATTTTCTAGTATATCTTAGTTATAGGCCGGATGGCGGGTGTTTTTCAAATAAATACATAGCTTGAAATCTACCCATGGTCACGGGAGGACTGAGGTGTTTGGCGACCTAATGTTATATTTAGAATAGAATAGAATAAGAGTATAATACAATAGAATAAATGCAGTAGTATGTTTGGGTTTCAATTTTATTTTATTAATTATAGAATCTTTAGCAGATAGTAGCACTCACCTATCTTCAAATTATATCTTAAAATTAGGATGTTTTTTATTTTCAATAGCCTTGTGAATCATCATTGGTAGGAACCGGTGTTCTATTGCAATGATTTGTTGTCAATCAGATCCGATATAATGGTTG